GCATACATAATGTGTATATGTATGTCGTACAATGTGGATAATACAGCCATAGAGGTACCAAAGTTTAATTATAAGTATAGAATAACATGTAGAGCTTTGCGTTTATGCATAATAAAAACAAAAGATAAAGTACGCCCTTAGAATTTTTGGCACCCCTTAACTGAAATTCGTTCTTGTTTTAATTTTTTAAGTTATAAACAACTAGCTTACAAACAATAAAAATATAAATTTTACAACTATTTTTACTAAAATAAAAATACGATACTTACATAATGTTGTCGAAAAAAGATAACCAAATTTATTAAACGTCAACTTTTCTAGCTTTTACTAAAACAAACACTATCGTAATTTCTTTCTTTTTTTTATTATTCTTCAAAAATCAGGGTCTGACAGACGCAGAAACTGTTACAGCATGCCAAGCAGTAGTACAAAATTAAACAAATAAGCAAATAAATAAATAAAAAAAACGGAGAAAGAAAAATGTTTAAACATGAAAAATAAAATAGAATAAATAAAAAATAAACAATAATAATAAAATAAAGAAAATAAAATAAATTGACAATAAAATGAAGTAATGGCACAAAAACGCAAATTAATAGACTAGATGATGACTTAGTGAGCTGATCGATATATAAAAACTAGTTGTGTGAATGATAAAGAGTAGAGCTAAAGAAAGTGGAATGACTCTTATTAGAAAGAAAATTTATTATTATTATGTTATCAGGTAGGGAAGAGAGGCTAACTTATTTGAAAATGAGAAGTGATTGAGCGTATCAAAAGCTTTAGAAAAGTCGAGGGCAATATCAAAATCTTCAAAATCTAACTTGTCAAATTAATTATCTAAAATGCTGAGAAAAAATTTTCCAATATGTTAACGTACAAAAATTGTTTATATTCATATTTAATTGATTTCCAAAAAATATTAATTAATCATTAATGATATATTTATACTATACATAATATACATTCAATTTTAAACAAAAACAAGATCATTTGGGTATTCTTGTACAAACAAACAAATTCATTCCTAAAGTAACCCAGGTTATATGACCGCGTTTAATAGGTAGTGGAAAAGGTTATATTTTTGTAATTTTTTATTATTTAAAAGTTTTTAGATATAGTATTGGTTTTGTATAAGTGTACTTGAAAATAGGCACCCAGGGCAATTGCCTAGGTTTGTTAGTTTTTGCTACACAAATGAAGCAATATGCTAAACCATTTTTTCTATCCTTGGCCAATTTTTTTGAATTCACAGTCCCATACACGTTCATTATGTAATACCATCTATCAATTATTTTGGCAAATTTTCTGTCTCCAATTATTACCAGTTCATTCTGTGATACCATCCATCAAATTTTTTGGCAAGTTTTTTGTCCCCAATTATTTTCAATAATTTTTATCCGACTCCGACACTCTGGTTTTGCATACATAAAATACACAGATGTCTGTTATTTCAACTTTATTTCAATATTACGTAGAAGATATTACCATTTTTTCTAAACTAAAACATTTCTTGTCCAATGGCTAGTTTTTTGTCAATTCTGAACAATTGTTGTTGCTGACGTAGTACTCTGAGTCTCATTTTTAATTACTTGTATTTGACACCAAAGTAATTGTAATTATACATTGTATTTGAAAATTTAGAAGTACAACGTACAAGTAAAATACTTTACAAAAAATTCACAGAATTTACAATATGAAATTTAAAATGTCTTATTTAGAAATTTTAGTCAAAATTGGACCGGTTTTGTATATGAACCAGATTTTTATCACCTAAATTTTAATATACAATGTTTGCATCTGTGTTTTTGTATATAATCGTACACACGCATGAATATCCACGCTTACACGTTGTTCATTGTTTACATGTGAACATGTATGTAAATGTATAATAATCAATAAAGCATTTGCAGCGGATATTAATAGATCAATATAGTTAGAAAACCTGTGATCTTTTATAGTTTGGTTTCCCAAAGCAATTCCTCTCAAAATATTTCCATTTCTCTATTGCATTTCCCATTGACTCCGTCAACAGTAGTAGTTATAATAGATCGCATTGTAGGTTTCCAATTTCTGCTTTGATCCAATCTTATCCCTGTATTTGAACTAGAGCCCTGCGCGGTTGGAATTTTCAAAAACCGCAACCGCACAAAACCGCAACATTTGAAACCGCACAAAACCGCAGCGTTGAAAACCGCAACCGCACCACCGAAAACCGCAACCACACCGCAAGAAAAAACAACATTAATGCTTTTATTGACATTATAAATCACAACTATCTACATCCAAATCACTATACTCTA